TGCTCACATATTGGTAAAATGCAAACATAAACATCTCTATTTGAAAATTCATATTAAGATCTTACTAGTTTCAGGGTATATAACTATATATCTATATTTTAAACCATACTAAAAATTAGTATAATACATTTAATAAGTCATCTCCCTACTTTGATACGTAATTTCTAAAATAATATTCAAACGGAAGAAATATAAATAGAAGTAAAATTAACAACAACAAACAAGTCATAGCTTTGATAAGAAATTCGTAAAATCTCAATAGTGACACTTTTGAAAAATATTGATATTAGGAAAATATTGGGCATTGCTTTCTTTTGCGGGAATAATTTTATTTATTTATTTATTTTTGGTCAAAGGCAACTATGACTTTGACAAAATCCACATTTGCTTTGAACCTGCAGATATTTTACATTTTTGAGAGAAAAAACAAATTGACTTGCGGACTTATGTGATTTAAAACATTTGATAATTAGATAAAAATAAAGCATAATATTGGTGTTAGATAAACTTATGGAACTGCAGTAAATCGTCTTACAACAACCTACCAATGATTGGTAATAATATAGTAGAATGATTACTTTTTATCGTTGAAGTTAAAAGCTCGTGTTCAAAAACGAACTTTTACGGTCAGTTGGTCACGACTCACGAGTCTATTATAGTAGTAGTACTAATCTATACACACCACATACATTGGTATTATTTAATTAATCATTGATTACGAGATCTCCAGTTCAGATTTCGGCCTTGATTGTATTGGTCACATAAATCCTTATCAGTTTGACTTTGTTAATGTTTGTCCCAAGTTTCAAATTTTCCATTTGCGGAGTTACTTAATTTGATCTTTATGATTGTAGTACTGAATTCTAGAAGATCACGTCATGCGGTCGTGAGAGATAGTACGGCAATGATTTTAAATCTATCCAATCCGATCCAAATACAAACATAAGCATCGGCTGGATTATTCGCGACTCCAATGGCGATTTCGTTACCGCAACATCATTTTTCCTCCCACAAACTAACTCGTTTTTTGAGGCAGAAAGTTTTAGTTTACTTCACGCCTTACAATTTAACATGATACCAAGTTACCGATGGTTAATTTTCGCTCTCGTTGACTTAATACATGGACGAAGAAGAGACATAGCAGTGGAGAATTTGATTCATGATATCCATTTATGGATCAGTCGATTTACATGTGTTCAAATGGTCCACATCGGGAGAAAAGCAAGAAATAGTGGACAAACTTGCGCATTTCGAGAAATTTCAATACTCATCTTGTTGTATTCTAATTTATCTCTTTTATGTATTCAACATTTATTTTTTTGAGATTGTAAAAACATTTTCAAGTTTAATGAAACAGATGGTAAAAAAATAAATGTGGTTCTGGATTTAGTTAATGGGTGCGAGACCTAATGGGCTAAGCCCAAATTGGAAACACAGTTCCTCAAAACCAATTCAATCCGTGGAATCGAAAAATCAAAAATCATAAACCAGACCTTAAATTAGTTTAAAAAAAAAAAAAAAGGGTAACAAATTCCTCTATCTTCCACTGATTACAGAAGCCGAAGAAATTCTGGTGAGAGAAGAAGAAGCGTATGAACTCGAAGCCCTATCAGACGAAACATATCCTCCAAATTTCGATCCTAAATTGCTTCTCGAAGAATCTGAATATCCCCAATTATCGTCAATCTTAGGAACATCTTCGTCTCTGTTCAGATACCTAAGCACCATTCGCATCGGCGGCCGAAATTCCACTTTCTGGTGGCAACAGAGCAAACCGACGGCGAGAGCGAGCCTTGCCTCTTCGCCGTCGTAACCAGATCCGAGCCTCGGATCCACCGCACTGAGGATCTCACCGCTCGTTTCTAGCTCCATAACCCAATCGGCTAAGAAGAAGGTCCCGGAATCAGTGGGTTTTCTCCCGGAGACGATCTCTAACAGCAAAACGCCGAACGCGAATACGTCGGAAGCCGACGAGGCGTTTCCGTTGCGTGTGAGCTCCGGCGCCATATACCCAATCGTACCGACGACTACGGTGGTGTGGGTTTGAGATCCGCGTTCGTGAAGCCTCGCGAGTCCGAAATCTCCCAATCTAGGGTTCATGTCATCGTCAATCAGAACGTTGCTAGGTTTCACGTCTCTGTGAACCACGATCTGTTCCCATTCCTCGTGGAGATACAATAGCCCAGACGCGATCCCTTTCGCGATTTGAAAACGCGCGTTCCACGACAAAACGGCGCCGCTTTGTCTCGGTTTACTGTAGAGCAGCGAGTCTAAGCTTCCGTTGGGGATATAATCGTAAATCAGCAAGAGATCGTTCTTGTGTTTGCACCATCCTCGAAGGTTGACCAGATTCTTATGACTTAGCTTTCCTAAACTCTCGATCTCTGCGACAAATTCTCGAACACCTTGCATGCTATTCGGAGTTATCTTCTTCACGGCGATTTGATCAGAAGAAGATGATGAGATTTTTCCTCTGAAAACGGTTCCGAATCCTCCGGTTCCGACGATGCGATTCTCCTTGAATCCATCAGTAGCGGAGTAGAGATCTTTGTATTGAAATCTGTGAGGATGATCGATTTCCCAATCCTCGAGAATCTCTTCTTGTTGCAATCGCTTTTTGTGTATCATGAAGATCAAGAGTAACACGAACATGATCGATATAACAGTCGATAAAGCTACGATCAGAGCAATGACTTTACCGTTGTACCCTCTCTTCTTCGCCGTGTTCGGAGGCGGAAGAGGAAGCTCCGAGACGTCGAGTGTTTCCGCAATCGGATTTTTTCCGCCGCTTGAGAAACTCCAACCCATCACGTAATGAGCACTTGACTGATCCTTCCCCGTCGCTGCTGTGAATCCAACGAACATTTCTTCTTTCACAATCTCTAACAGATATGGAATCTGTCGAGAGATCAAGGGAGTTCTTGGTTTGGATCCTAATCTTGTTGGGTAAACAGTGAGGTTAAGCGTTTTGGTTGGTCCGTCGTAATCAAGAAAGACTTGGATTGGCTCGCCACTCCCAAGTTGGAATTCTTCTTTCTGGCCATCGTTGTTGTAGTAAACCACTGGTTCTTGGATCTTTGAATTTAGACTGTTGAAATTTAGACCGATGTGGTTGCCTATTCGGTTTGTGCCGTCTTTGTCTTTGAATCCTTGTACCGTGTCGAATTCCACAGCGAAAACGTGGTTACTTTGATTGCCGTCGTTACTTTTGTTGAGAAGCCCCAAGTACTGCGCGGATTCCGCGCCTGTACGGTTTGGGGTTGGAGATAGTGTGAATGTGAATCCGAAACCTCCGTTGCTTGAGCTTGAAGGGATTATGACAAAGACGAAAGAAGTGCTAAAGGAACGAACCGTGGCCTTTGTAGAATTTCTTTTAGTGTCGAGCAACCTCACCGGATTTTGGTAGAAAGCTGTCCCGGCGACGTTTGAGTTTCGATCAGTGAGCCTTAATAGTCCGTTGGGTTTGATGGTCGAGTCTCCTTCTAACTGAATCTCTGTTTGGTTTCCTCTAAAACCTCGGAAAACGAACTCTGTTGTTGCTCCTTGAGCTCGAACACTAACGATCTCTAGAAAGAGCAGCAGCAATAGTGAGAACATGGATTTTGCTTTGCCCATGAATGATCAAGAGAGGGGTAACCAAAAACAAATTTAAGGTAGGAAAAGTGAAACAAGAACAGAGAAAATTGCTTTGAAAGAGAAAGATGTTTTTTTTACAAGGACAAGAATAGTTTGGCTTATGTTACAGATGC